ACCTAGCTGGCTGAGATGAGCCCAATGAAACTTCAGACAGCATAATCCCCCTAAAAGAGGAATTCTGGGGGTGTTGTGAGAGACGGATCAGAGAGGGGGACTTAGGTTGTATCCTAACCCTGATCTACTCAGCCACGTGACATGGCAGCCTGTCAAAAGAGTCATGTGACTGAAACATTGTTTTAAACACTTGTTTTACCTCTGCCAAACTGAGGCTGACTCAGCCAGCAACAGTCCTGGTTCTGAAGAGAGTTTGGAGTAAAACCCCATCTAGGGTCGGGAATTGGCCAATTTCTCAGACACAGGAGCTGCTTAACCACAGTCCTTGTGTCTTGCCAGGATTCAAATTTGTTCAGCTTGTTCTCCTTCATTCATCTTACAACTGCATGCAGGCAGTGGCTCAGTAATTGCACAACTACTCCTGATTCAGATGATATGGAGAAGTAGACCTGGGTGTCATAGAATAGAATCATAGAGTTGGAAGAGACCACAAGGGCCATCGAGTCCAACCCCCTGCCAAGCAGGAAACACCATCAGAGCACTCCTGACATATGGTTGTCAAGCCTCTGCTTAAAGACCTCCAAAGAAGGAGACTCCACCACACTCCTTGGCAGAAAATTCCACTGTCGAACAGCTCTTACTGTCAGGAAGTTCTTCCTAATGTTTAGGTGGAATCTTCTTTCTTGTAGGTTTTTTTTTTTTTAATGATATTTATTAAGAATTTTAAGATTAAAGTCAAAAAGAAAAAAAAGAAAAAAGCAAGGAAAAAACAAACCACAATCAAACAATACAAGTCGATAAAAATCAAAAGCAAAAAGCAAAAAACAAAACACATAACACATCAAAATCAAAAAACAAAAATAAACCACAAAAGTTTAAAAACAGATCCAATATTCCCAAATCCTTAACTGTCATTACCTTATTTCATCGACCTCCTCACCCCTCCCTTTTTGTATTCTAGTTATTGATTATCACAGCAAATCCTTCCCATTTTTCATAATATTCTGTCATTAAATTACCTTAATCTATTTTAACCTTATCTTACTATAAAAAACCCTAAAACTTAAAGCTTGAGTCTTATCTATACCAATTTCTCATAACCATGACATATTCTTGCATAGTTCTTTTTAACATTTCTGCTAAAGCCAAATAATTTCGTTCCCTCTTGTTGTAATTACTCATGAATTTTAGAGAACATTCCTAAATAGAATTTTTGAAACTTTCTCCAATCTTCATCCAACGTCTCTTCCTCCTGGTCACGGGTTTTGTCAGTCCTTTCTATCCCATCCATCTAGTTCATTAACCTGGTAACCTTATGTCCGAGGCCCTTAAGTCTCTTCCATGTCCCTTCTGCAGATCTTCTTCATATTTATACCTGTACTTTACTTTGTCTTCTGCTCCTTTCACTCGTGGAGACTCCAGCTTGACAGTATTTTTGTCCCTTCTCGACAGATCAGCCCCTTTTCCATAGTCCACACTGAACTCCATGTGGTATTTAAAAACATGGTTTCAAGGTCCCTCCAAAATTGAGGACCCCCACAACTCCAAACTCCTCCCGACCCAACGCCAGACTTGAAAAGCTCCATCTCCAAACCAAACAAGACTCTATCTCTCCAAATCTGGCTTTTTCCAGGTTCATTCGTCAGGTCCAACCACTCATGTTCCTGCTGGGCCACGGTTCCCTCCATCTCTGCCTCTCGGGGTCCAGCCACAACCTCCTCCTTCATCTGATCTGTCAGAGCACATTCCTGAATTGATTCCTGAGTGGGTTCTATATAGATACTCACTACCTGTCCAAAATTTCTGATCGCAACAGTCATCAAATCTGTCTTCTCATGTAACTGTTCCAATAAAGCACTTGTTTTGCAGAAGGCACGCACCAGAGCCTCTGAGTACATTGTTATACAAGGTCAGAAGTCTATTCCCACGATCTTAATCTGTTGCAACTGCGACACTCCCCAGTTCAAGTTTAGTAACAGTTTCACAAGCTCCCTCTAGGGGAAGAACTTCTATTTGTATCCAACTCTTTTCTTTTCTTTTTTTAACAGCAGATCTAACAACAAAGTTTCCTTTTTCAGATATTTTGTCAATATTTGTTCCTTTAAAGTGCGAAAGAGGACAATGGAATCACTATGTTTCTCTTCTTTTAACTGTCTGTCAAAAACATTTGTCTATAGTCAATGAACTTTCCCAAAAACGTCTGTCCTGACACCCCGCTCCCAGGTTCAAGACGGTGGAAAATTACTTTTCTTACACTCTCTTCTGCAGGTTTAAGCAATATGGAAAAAATTCCCCCTCTTCTCCTGCTTCCGAAGGGGGTTCAGTAATTTTAGATGATGAAAGTTGATCCTTTACAAACGATTTTCTACACTCTAGTTTGCCATGTCTTTGCTTTAATCTATCTACAAGAAACAGAAGGCTGACTTCCTGTTTAGACTTTCCTGCTTCAGTGCCAAATTAAGAGGAATTTCTTAATCCAATTTTCTGTTCTACTCACAGATCGTTGTTTAAAGTCCAATTGTCCAAATTTGATCTGCTCACGGGTAGTTGGTTTTGTAGCCAAATTGTCCCAGGAAAAAGGTAGCGCTCTCCGGCAACGGCTGTGCGGCTTCGCTCCACGGAAGAAGCAGTTGACTCTCAGCACCGTGCCACTAACCCCTCTTCGCTCCGGAGCCCGTAATTGGGTTCCTTTACGAATTGGGGGGGCGCAAAAGGTGCCCGCCGAGTCCCATGGTCACAGGCTTCATCCGCCTGTGATGTTTAAGAGGGTCCCCGCTTCGCCGTAGCAGAACAGACCCGTTTCCCATGGAGCCAGTCCCTCCGGATCAGAGGGAATCCGCCATTACCGATGGCGCCACCCCGGAAGTCCCTTCTTTCTTGTAGTTTGGATCCATTGCTCCGTGTCCGCTTCTCTGGAGCAGCAGAAAACAACCTTTCTCCCTCCTCTATGTGACATCCTTTTATATATTTGAACATGGCTATCATATCACCCCTTAACCTCCTCTTCTCCAGGCTAAACATGCCCAGCTCCCTTAGCCATTCCTCATAAGGCATCGTTTCCAGGCCTTTGACCATTTTGGTTGCCCTCCGCTGGACACGTTCCAGTTTGTCAGTGTCCTTCTTGAACTGTGGTGCCCAGAACTGGACACAGTACTCCAGGTGAGGTCTGACCAGAGCAGAATACAGTGGCACTATTACTTCCCTTGATCTAGATGCTATACTCCTATTGATGCAGCCCAGAATTGCATTGGCTTTTTAGCTGCCGCGTCACACTGTTGGCTCATGTCAAGTTTGTGGTCAACCAAGACTCCTAGATCCTTTTCACATGTACTGCTCTCAAGCCAGGTGTCCCCCATCTTGTATTTGTGCCTCTCATTTTTTTGCCCAAGTGCAATACTTTACATTTCTCCCTGTTAAAATTCATCTTGTTTGTTTTGGCCCAGTTCTCTAATCTGTCAAGGTCGTTTTGAAGTGTGATCCTGTCCTCTGGGGTGTTAGCCACCCCTCCCAATTTGGTGTCATCTGCAAATTTGATCAGGATGCCCTTGAGTCCATCATCCAAGTCGTTGATAAAGATGTTGAATAAGACCGGGCCCAAGAAAGAACCCTGTGGCACCCCACTAGTCACTCTTCTCCAGGATGAAGAGGAACCATTGATGAGCACCCTTTGGGTTCGGTCAGTCAGCCAGTTACAAATCCACTGAGTGGTAGCGTAGTCAAGACTGCATTTTACCAGCTTCTTTACAAGAATATCATGGGGCACCTTGTCAAATGCCTTGCTGAAATCAAGGTAGGCTACATCCACTGCGTTCCCTTCATCTACCAGGCTTGTAATTCTGTCAAAAAATGAGATCAGGTAGTCTGACATGACTTATTTTTCAGAAATCCATGCTGACTATTGGTGATCACAGCATTCCTTTCTAGGTGCTCACAGACTGTTTGCTTAATGATCTGCTCCAGAATCTTCCCTGGTATTGATGTCAGGCTGACTGGGCGGTAATTATTTGGGTCCTCTCTTTTCCCCTTTTTGAAAATAGGGACAACATTTGCCCTCCTCCAGTCTGCCGGGACTTCGCCTGTTCTCCAGGAATTCTCAAAGATGACTGCCAGTGGTTCTGAGATCACATCTGCCAGTTCTTTTAATACTCTTGGATGCAGTTCATCTGGCCCTGGAGACTTGAATACATCTAAATTAGCCAAGTATTCTTGTACTATCTCCTTAGTTATTCTGGGCTGTGTTTCCTTTGCTGAATCATTTGCTCCAAATTCTTCAGGTCGGGCATTGTTTTCTTTATCGGAGAAGACTGAGACAAAGAAGGCATTGAGGAGTTCAGCCCTTTCTGTGTCCCCTGTTTGCATTTCACCATCTTCTCCTCTGAGTGACCCCACTGTTTCTTTGTTCTTCCTTTTGCTACGAACATACCCATAAAAGCCTTTTTTGTTGCTTTTAACCTCTCTAGCAAGCCTGAGTTCATTCTGAGCTTTAGCTTTTCTGACTTTGTGTCTACATGTGCTGGCTATTTGTTTGAATTCCTCTTTGGTGGTTTCCCCCCTTTTCCATTTTTGTACACATCCTTTTTAATCCTAACTCAGTTAAAAGTTCTTTAGATAGCCACCCTGGCTTCTTTAGGCACCTTCCATCTTTCCGTCTCATTGGTATTGCCTGAAGTTGTGCTTTTACTATCTCCCTCTTAACAAACTCCCAGCCATCATGAACTCCCTTTCCTTTTAGTATTACTGTCCATGGGATCTCACCCAGCACTTCCCTAAGTTTTATGAAGTCGGCTTTCTTAAAGTCAAGAAATTGAGTCATAGTATGCTTGGCTGCTCCTTTCCGCTGTATAGTAAACTTCAGAAGAGCATGATCACTCGCACCTAATGATCCTTCCACTTCTACCCCACTAACCAGGTCATCAACATTGGTTAGGACCAGATCTTAAATGGCTGTTCCTCTTGTTGCTTCTCCCACTTTCTGGACAACAAAGTTGTCTGCAAGGCCAGTGAGGAATCTGTTTGACCTTATGCTCTTGGCTGAGTTTGACATCCAACAAATATCCGGGTAATTGAAGTCCCCCATTACTACTATCTCCCTTCCTTTTGCATGCTTGGCCATCTGTTCCAGGAAGGCATCATCTATGTCCTCCGTTTGGCTTAGGGATCTATAGTAAACTCCCACAATGAGGTCACTGTTATTCTTCTCTCCCTTAATTTTGACCCAAATGCTCTCACTTTGGCTTTGAGGTTCTAAATCTTGGATCTCTTCACAGGTATACACATCCCTGACATATAACGCCACTCCTCCTCCTTTCTTGTCTGGTCTGTTTCTCTGAAATAGATTGTATCCCCCATTATTACATTCCAATCGTGGGACTTATCCCACCAGGTTTCAGTGATGCCTATTATGTCATATTTAGTTTGCTGTACCAAGAGCTCAAGCTCATCTTGTTTATTTCCCATGCTTTGCGCATTAGTGTACAGACATTGAAGTCCATTAATCATTCCCCGTGACTCTTATTTAAGGATTTTTCCTCCCACCACTAGGTCTGTGTGCTGTTTGCTCCATTTGGTCTATGACATTTGGATGATCATCTTCATCAATTGATAGACTCCTACCTTCAGGAGCACTGTCTCCCTCCCCACATTAGTCAGTTTAAAGCCCTCCTGATGAGGTTTCTGAGATTTTTGGCAAAAACATTCCTCCCAACCGTTGTGAAGTGCAGCCCATCGCTTGCCAGAAGTCCATCTTCAAGAAACTGCAGTCCGTGATCTAAGAATCCAAACCGTTCCTGTTTACACCATTTGCGAAGCCAGCTGTTCACTTCCACTATTTTCCCCTCTCTCCCTGGGCCACGTCGTTCAACTGGGAGGACAGATGAGATGACAATTTGTGCATTTAATTGCTTCAATTTCCTGCCCAGAGCCTCGTAGTCTCTTTTGATCTTCTGGAGGCTATTGCTTGCAGTGTCATTGGTTCCCACATGAACCAAGAGGAAGGGGTATTTGTCAGTGGGTTTATGATTCCTTACAGTCGTTCAGTTACATCTTGGATCTTAGCCCCGGGGAGACAGCACACTTCCCGAGACATCTTGTCAGGCCCACAGATCACTGCTTCTGTTCCCCTCAGTAGGGAATCCCCTATCACCACTACACGCCTCCTCTTAGGTTTGGTCGGGGTTCTTCCGTGAGCTGTCCGTTCCAAGGTCGCCTGCACATTCCCTGAGGACTGACTTTGCTGCTCGTCTTCATATACCTGATCGACTGTAATGAGGAGAGATCCTCAAATAGAGTCTGCTCTTCGTCTTCCATGCTAGGGGAGAGGACCTCAAAGCGATTGTGTATTTCTAAACAATCAGAGCGAACCCTGGGCCTCCTACTTCTTTGAGTCACGTTTCTCCATATATCTGGCTCCTGTGTTGGTAAACTAGCCTCCTTCTCAGGGGAGTCCCCTGTCTCCTCCTTGGTGGAGACGGTGTGCTCTGTTGCTTCCAAGAAGAGCTCCAGCTCTCTAATTCTTTGGAGCGTAGCTACACGTTCCTCCAGTTGCTGGACTTTGTCTTCTAAGAGGGCAATCAACATGCAATTGCTGCAGGTAAAGCTGCCTGCAACCTTTGGCAAGATGGCAAACATTGCGCAGGAACCGCAGGCGACTGCAGCTGTTCCCTCTCCCTCCATCTTGAGAACGTGTCGTTGGGGGTGGCTACAGCGGTCCTCCATCATAAAAAGCGTGAAGACAGGAAAAATAACTCCCCCCCAAAAAAACCTAGGTCTCCCCCAACAAACGTTTGAGACTAGCTCCTTTAAATCTAAAAGATGGATCAAACCCGCAGGCTCTGATAAGCTCCTCCCACAGCTAATCACCTGCCTCAACAGAAACCCTGCCCCCTCTGACCCTTGCACAGGGAGAGCAGCTAATCAGCCACAAAGAAACACACACACACACACACACACACACACACAAGAAAACCCTTTTCATCATCATCATCATACTGATGGCACGTTGCCCTGAGTCTCCTAATGACCACTCCATGTGGCTTTGTGTAGATATTAAATAGCACTGGAGATAAGAAGGTCCTGTGCAGCACCTCATAATATAGCTGTCAAACAAACCACTGATTATCTGGCCAGAGAGACTAGCGGAGAGAAAAGCAAAGGACACAGAGAGCATAAGAAGAGTGGGGGATTATATCTCTTCCTCCATCACCCTAGGCTCCATATTGCATATTCACTTCGCTCCTCCGACAGAGGAAAAATAAATTAATTAGGAAGAGGGAACCACATCATTATCTGGATAGGTCATTTCCTGGTCTACACTGAGAATTTACTTCTAAATGATCCCAAGAAAAGTTCCTATATTAGCTGCTTGTGTAACCACAGGCATCATCATAAAAGGCTATATGCACTATGCAAAAGAGGACACACGATAGTATAAAAGGTGTATATCTTCATTCATATTTACTGGTGCAAACTTTGAAATAATTTTCAGAATTAAATTTTACAGAAGTCAATTAAATTCCCATACAGATCCCCACAAATTTATTCAATTAAATTTCACATGACTTCCAGATTACCCCAAATCAGTTAATCCCTCTGCAGTAAATTTACCAACAATTAATTTCCAAGCAGATGCTGTTCAAAAAGGATTTCCCTTCAATTAAGGGAAAACTCTCAGGGGAGCATTTGCAACCGTTTTGCATCATTTTTGAGTGAATTGCCGAAAGTCAGATTTTTGATGAAATTGTGACCCCGGGGCTTAGGGATTTTTCCAAAAATATCTTTTTCTGCCGGTTAAGTTGTTGAGGGCTGATTTCTTTTCCTGTGATAAAAAGCCTTCTGTTTCGACCGACAAACCTGTCCGGGGGGGTATTTGCAACCGTTTCGCACCATTTTTGAGTGAATTGGAGAACGTCAGACTTTTGATGAAATTGTGACCCCGGGGCTTAGGGATTTTTTCTCCATTCAATTATTATCATTACCCTTGATATTAAAATTTTAAAATAACTGGGAGTGCAATTGTGTTTCTAGTAGAGAGGGTCTTAATACCAGATGAGGTGTATTCACAGTACAATCCCCCTGGAAATGGAACGGAAGCTATGATATTATCAAGGGATATTTGAAGTTTCATTTTAAGACTTCCAGCATGGTAGAAATAGCTCTCAGTACAAACCAAATTTTGACTACTCAGAAGTAACTTCAATTAAATTCCATGGATATTTGTCTCAGGTAAATGGGATTGGGACTGCAGGTTTAGGTTGCTGATTAATGAAGTTGAACAAACCAAGACACTTTTCAGAATCTTACTGGATGTACATGGGGAAAGGACACTGGTTTGTACTGGAAATACTGGAGTGTCTAGTATGAGAGGGAGTATCTGGTGCTGGAAATATATTGGGAATTGTGATATTAATGCTCCCGAATCCCCTGTTTAGCTCTGGTTTAAAAGCTCGCTTTGTAATTCCAATCATCACTGCCTTTTACTAGCCAGCAGAGATCAGTAGGTGTTCCTGCAGATCAGGATTTTTCAAAAGACAGAAGGAGAAAGGATTGGTGCGACCAACTGCAAAGCCTATGATGACTCCTAATCTGCCTTACGCCATAAGAGTAGGCGTATAACGGCAGCAATTTAAGCTAATTCCTGAAGCCCTTTGTATTGCTGACCTGTTTCTAGTGTTTGTGAAAGGAATCCCATGACTCCACAAAATTTTAGCCTATGAAGGAACATGTGACCCTCAAATGACTTAGTTACTTCTCCTTGTTAAGTGCTCCTTGCTGTTCAACTCAGGCCTTAGAGCAATGATATAACATTTGGGGAAGAAGATACAACCCAACAATCCAACACTTGAGGCCAAGATGGAGAAGATCTCAACCACCACCATGTATTTTCCCTTTGTGCTCAGGTAAGTTGGAAGAAAAGAGACCCACACACTGCAAAACACCAACATGCTGAAAGTGATGAACTTGGCCTCATTAAAAGTGCTGGGCAATGTCCTAGCAAGAAAAGCCACAATGAAGCTGACAAGAGCCAGGAATCCCATGTATCCCAGAACACAGTAAAACATAGAGGCAGACCCTTCATTACATTCAACCACAATTTCTTTGGACAAAGAATCCATGTCCAAATCTGGGAAAGGAGGAGCAGTACAGAGCCATACAGTACAAATAGCTCCTTGAATGAGAGAACAAGAAAGAACAATTGAAGTTGCCAGTTTTTTCCCCATCCAGTTCCTTACTCTGGACCCTGGCCTTGTAGCCATGAATGCCAAAACCACAGTGGTTGTTTTTGCCAACACAGAAGAAACAGCCACAGAGAAGATGATGCCAAAGGTTGTTTGTCGTAGAAGGCAGGTCGCTATCTGAGGTCTCCCAATGAACAGCAATGAACAGAGGAAGCAGAGCAGGAGAGCGACCAGCAGAGAGTAGGTGAGACTTCGATTGTTGGCTTTGACGATGGGGGTGTCTTTGTATTTAATGAATATCCCGAGTACCAAAGCTGTGATCACAGAAAATGAAAGTGCCAAGAAAACTAAAATGATGCTCAAAGCTTCCTCATAAGACAGAAAGTTTAAAATCTTGGGAAGGCATCCATCTTGGTGTTTATTTGGATACTGATCTGCTGGGCATCTGATGCACTTGTCCATGTCTGAAAAAAGAAAGAAAATGATGATAACTCCATATTCCAAACAAGTGAAGGACAAAAACATATAGTGCCATCATATATATTTCTACTCAGAAGTAAGTCCCATTAAATTCAATAGAGTATATTTATCAGTAGGTGGTTTTAGGATTGCTGTGTGTAGCATGTAAACATTGGGAGAACAGAAGCCTGCAGGGAGCTATCAGGCACAATGGTTCAATATAAACTCCTGTTGTTTCAACAGCTAATAAGCAATTTCTTGTTTTAGGATATATACATAATTGGAGATGCTTAATGCTGAAAGGGATTGTTATATCTAGGCTAAGGTTTGGTGATTAGCTTCAAAATGGATGTGTTCATTGGTCGAGCTTTATTCTTCAGGCAGAAGGACGTAACTTCATTCCTTGGTATCACCTGCTGAAAATATCAGGTAGAAGGTGATATCAGAAATCTCTCCTTATGATTGCAATTCTTAGCATGCCTGCTCAGAAATAAGTCCCCTTGAATTACTTCTGTGTGGGAGCCACCACTTACCAGAATGAATAATACCAGCTAGTAAAGGGACAAATAATCCATCCTAGTATAAGGCCCTAAGATGGAACTGTAGATGCTGCTTTGCTATCCTTAAAGCACAAGAAATAAATGCTAATTCCTCTTGGTTTTATTGCAAAGAATCTCTGAAATAAGTTAGATTTCTTTGGAAGGGATGATGTAGTCTGAACCATGCCTACTCATGTGTTAATGTTTTAAGATGATCATGTGCGAGGTCACCTACCCATGGCAACAGAAATCATTTCTTCTGGACATGCATCACAGTCGTAGCAACAGAATGGTTCACCATCTTTCTTTTTCCTAATAGATCCTGGGCTGCATTTATCATTGCACACTGAAGATGGTGACATCTATTCATAAAGACAAGGGAAGAAAAGCTTAATGCATGCTGCTCTCAATGAATGATTCAAATTTAACTGAATGGCATCACAGACCTGGGAGAGAACACTGCTAATTTTTTTCTAGGAAATGATTTCACAGGCCTTCACAGCCCTGATATTAATTCCACCCATGTCTTTTTAAAGGCAATCAAAATACAATATGCAGATGATATTATTATTATTATTATTTTCATTATTAACTTCATTGATGTACATGAGTGGTTAAGGGGAGGAAATATCACTATACCACTGGCTTATTCCGTTTACTCTACTGTATAATT